TATTAATTGGTAATAAACTAGATAAAATTAATTAAAGTTGATTCAGTACTAGTTGATGTTGACAATGTAGACAGCCTCAGGAAACGGGGGAGTAGTGTGGACTTCTCTTAGTTCCTAACTTAGTTTCTTGTTTTGCTTCAAACTAATGTTACCTTTCAGGATCACTATGGGAAATATTTGCTTGCCAATAAATATGAGTTTAACAATCTTACAATAATGAATTCATTTTTGTTGAAATTGGGGACAAAACAGACTTTACAGTTTTTTCATTTATTCCTAAAATTCATTTTAGTTATCAATTAACCCAAAATACTCTCCATTTTCCCTTAACATCACCTACTTGACTCATTTCCATTTGCCAGTATAGAGAGAATGCTAGAAGGAGTAACTTCCCTTGATGCACCAGATTCATTGGAGTATTAATTAGTGCTCCAGGGAAAGGAGAAGGAGAGAGAGACAACATAAACAGTATGCTCTTCTCCTTTGGGGCTTAACTTTCTTGCTCCATGTGTTTTCTCCCCCTATGTTGGTCCATTGCTAAAAGACATTGAGGTCCTATCTTATTGCTTTTTAAATCTAAGCCCGCAGCAGCATGCCCCATACTTTATAGAGGTTGACAAATTTCTAGTAGTAAATTATCCATAGCCTACAGCCCAGCCTCCTGTGGGCTGTCCTCACCTCTACCCTACCCCACTTCAATCTGGTAGTCTTATATATATAATATTACCTCCCTGTTTGGAGCACCTCCATTTTTGAAGTCCAACTTTTGGGATACCTAGAATGGTCTTAGGATCATCAGTGTTATAAGACTCTAGTGCCTGAGTTATACTTAGCTTTTTAATTTAAATGTGTTCACAGTCTTCGCTCCCTACGGGTAAATAGCTTTTTACTATAAACACACAGTACCTCTCTTAAACACACAGTACCTCTCTTCTATTTTTCTTAAAAATAACCAATTTCATCCCTGACAGTATTTCTTTTTGTCATCCGTTAAACATTTGTTGTTTTCTCACAAATTTAATTTTTCCTTCATTTCATATGTGATGATTTTATTGTGTGGTTTTTTTTTTTTTTAGAACAGGATGTATTGTTTCTTTAAAGATGAGAATCAATGGGCCATGTGCTGGTTTTCTTCCCACTCAGAGTATATTCAGTTTAGCTCACAGTCTTCTTTCTTCTAATAATGTGGATAAAAATGACTGACTTGGTGTTCAGCAGCAGAGATTGAAAATAAAACCTGTGATTCCAGCCTCCTTTTTTGTACTTCTTTATTTAAAAATTTTCTAAAGAATTTTCTAAAGAATTTTTCTTTCTTTCTACTTTCTTTTAGCTATCATGGGAAGAATTTAAGGTGTTTCTTTAGTTCCACTATGTTTCTCCTGAAGACTTCGTGTTTGCTTTGCTTCTCTTCCTTTGGTATGTTCACCTTGGGTTAGTCTACAGCTATAACATTCGACCTGAATTCAACTGCCACTGATAAGCAAGTATAGCATTTCCTCTTAAATGAGTAATTTTCTCTATGTATTTGATTTGAGCATAAATGAAATCATAAGCTGCACTCATGGTTATATATTTTCACATATATTTCGTTTCTTTCAGAGAAATCTTTCCTAAAATTAGTTTTTCCTTATGTTGACTTTTTATTATTTCTGGTTACTGGGTACTGTTTATTCTTTGCACTCAGCTGGTATTTGCCTATTTCACTTTCATGGTTACTATTCTTTTCTATCACATATTATGCATTTATTATATACTTCAGGATAACATTAACATATGAGTGATGTTAATTGAATACATCTAATTTGTGGAAAATTTCAACATTCAGTGCTATCACAAAGTTAATGTAGCTCATAATCCCCTTTTAAAATAATTAAAATATTACTTTCAGCCAAGATGGACTAACAGGGATTGGTCTCCTTCCGCCTGAAACAACTAACTGGACAAAGGATATGAAACAACAGTTCTTAAGACATTTGCCATCAGGTAACAAAAGACATTGATCCCTGAGAGACAGGAAACAAATTAGATGAGACCTACGATTGCTCTAGCCTGGAGAGAATTTCTGGGCATGACGCAGGGCGGTAGAACTCAGGAGGAGTCTAGAGATTGCCCTGAGTTCAGAAGGTGGAGGTGGGAGGCTGAGGAGCCAGGGCCACTGGAGTTCACAGGGCAGAATAGCAGAGAGGGGAGACCTGCAAGAGAGTTTTACAGATCTGCAGGGGTCCCTTTCAGGACTTCAGTTGAGTACTGATCAGTACATGCCTGTGAGGAGACTACCTGAGGCCAAGGAAGAACCACCCAAAAGGAATTGAGGGAACAGTACAATACTCAGAGCTCGCATACCACCAGGAATAGAGCCTGAATCCCTCAGACAGAGTAGAAAATCTCATAATTCACTGAGTATTGGTGGAGCACCTCCACCATTCTAGTTTTCATATCTAGATGTTTGATTTGGGTCTTTTTTCTCTGTCTTTACTGAAAAGGTACTCAGTCTTTCCTTTAGCTTCTAGAACATATGGAATACATTAGTTTTATGGACATATGGAATACATTAGAATTAGTTTCTTGATTCTATCAACTGTGTCATTTCTGGGTTGGTTTTGATTGATTGATATTTCTCTTCCTTATGGCTCTATTTTCTTGTCTTTTTTTTTGTTGTTTTTACCTACTTGGAAATCTGTAGATCCTTGTCAGGCACGTAAAAGATAACATTACAAATTTTACCTTGTTGGGTGCTGGATATTTTTGTATTCCTGTAAATATTCTTGAGCTTTTTTCTGGAATGTATTTAAGTTTCTTGGAAAGTGTTTTGATTCTTTAAGATGTGCTTTTAATCTTTAAGTGGGACCATTTAATCTAATTTTGCCCTACTATTAAGGGGAAACCTTTCTGAATACTTTACCTGATACCCTGTGAATTATGAGGTTTTCCATTTGGCTAACCATCTGTTACAGATGCTAAGTTGAGGATCAGGTTGTTCCTTCAAGGTTTGTTTTTAAGATCTGCTGGGATCATTATGGAGTGGTCTTTATTCTAAGACTAATTTAGGCCTGCTGAGGTCTCTGCTTATTGCCTGGAGTATACGCAGTCTCTGCTCTGGTTGGATGGAATTCAGATGTCTTCCACTCTATATGAACCTTGAATTATTCATTTTTTTAGCTCCCTGGCAGTTTTTTTGCCTGGCCTCCTGCAATTTCACTCTAAGTATGTGCAGGTTAGTATTAAGTCAAAGACTCAATGGACCCCTATGTAGATATCTGGAGGTTTTTTCTGCCTAACTCCCTCCTCTGGTACGTTATTCCAGTAATTCCTGCCACCTACATCTTTCTGAACCCCGATCTTTGTCTATTCAAGTTAGCGAGACTGCTGTGCTCTGCTTTGAATCTCCCTGCTTGTAGTGGTGTCTAGAATGTCTCCTGACACAAAGTCAAAGTGCTTATAGGGCTTGTCTAGCTTGTTGCTCTCTCAGACAACACAGATCTACACTAATTATTGCCCAATGTCTGGAAACTATTGTGTCATTTATTTTGTCTAGTTTTGCAGTTATTTACTGTCTGAGGATAAATCTTGTATTAGTTACTTCATAATGGCTAGAAGCATAAATCCCATACTACTGGATTATTCTGGGAGGTTGGTAAAGACTTTGGGTGAAGTTATAGGAAAGAATCACAATGAGCCTTGGCTGATTTTATAGTTAATGGCCATTTAGAATTTTGTATGTTTAAGGGCCCTGGGAATAGTTGACTTGGCAGTGGTTTGTTTGTCCTTTTCAACTAGATCTGTCAGATGAGGTCATGTAAATAATAAAGCATTACACAAATGTGCTTCTTATTTTTGGTTTACAGTAATTTGTTGAATGTTTTTACAGGCTGTTCTGCCTTAGAATAGATTTTTGACTCTTGGAATTTAAAGTGAAAATAGTTGGATTGCCTTTGTGGTGGAGGAGTTGGAGTCGGTGATGATGCTTCTATATTATTTCTAATCGCCAAAAATTGGTTTCAGTAGGCTTTGATGTCATCAGAGAAAGACTGCTTCTCGCAATTAATAATAGTGTCAGTCTGAGAATAATCTCATGTTGTAACAATAGTAAAGTAACTGGCAGAAAGACATATTTCCATAGAATGTATTGTCTCTATATTATTTTTGAGTTTTTGTACTCAGTGAGTTGCACATACATACTCAGTGAATATTTGATGTGTGAATCTTTATTAAGACCGTTTCACTTGTTGGTCAATCATAATAATTATTTTCTGTGTGTCAAACATAGTACTAGATGATGGAGAGGCAGCAATAAAAGTAGGAGATAGGATCCCTAATCAGAAGACTACATGAGATGGCACATATATAAGGCAGCAAAATATTCTAGCAAAGATGGATGGAGTACAAAATGATTATATCAGCCCTCAGGGAGGTGTGGAGGGGCTGGGTCTTGAGAAAGTTGATGGATATGCATTGATTCACAAAGAGGATAAGTGAGAAAATTCCCTGTTCTAAAAAGAAGGAATGGTGTGTTGCAGGGTGACAGCAGAGAATGACAAAATTGTTTTGTGGAAAGCAAGCAAAATAAATTGACTTGAATGGAAGTTTGTAGAAGATAGAAATTAGGTTGTAGAGCTAATTGGGGTATGGGGGATGTAGAAGATTTTGAGCGTTAGTCTGAAAAGAAAGACATTTCTAATTGCCTTACATGTTAAAAAGTAAACAAAATTAAAGAATTTTGTGTTCACAAACCAAGTTTTATAGGTGCCGACTTATTTTAAGATGATCTGTGAAGCAAATTAAGACACTGAGTGTTTCTGCATTTGACCGTAATTTGCAAAATGAAAACCCATTCCTTATTGGGATTTGAAAAGCACTGCTTGCAGAATGAGTGAATATACAAAAAGTTTTACATGTTATGACTGGCTACATAGGGGGGAAAAGGGATTTTTTAAAAAGTATCATAACACTAACTGAAATTTGAGTAGGGCTGAATTTCACATATTTTTCTTTTGTTCCAGGTTGCCACTTTTGCTAAGAGAGCACCCATGACCCTGATGGTGTTTTAATTCAAAGTAACGTGCTCTATTGCCTTTATCGATTAACTGATCAAATTCAGGTTAGTACATTTTGTGGACATGATGTTCCTGTTCAAATTTAATGTTAATATTTTGAGAAATGGATAATTTTGTGTTTAAAGCTACATATGTATGTAGCAGTGAAGTAGAAAGGCCAAGTCAATCTAAACTCTATTGAATTGTGTATTAGTTAACAAACATTTTCTGACTACCTACTGTAGTAAAATGAAAAATATTTTCCTTCCTATTTAATAGTTTTGTACTTTAAAGTAAGAGCCTGGATAAAACAAGTTGTGGATGAATACAATACATTGTACTTTTGGCATCATTGTGTGGCGTATTTGGTTCTGAAAAGAAACAACTCAAAATTTTTTGATTATTTTTAGTAGCTGATATTTAAAGGTTTTGTTCTTGTCCAGATTTCAGCCATACATTAAAATTTTTATTTATTTCTTTTAGTGTTCAGTCTGTGAGTTTTGACAAATGTGTATTCATCACCATAATCTTGTAAATTCACTCACATTGCCTCTTTGTAGTCACCCTCTCCCTCCACCTCAACCCCTGGCAACCACTGATTTTTTTTTTTTTGTCCCTATAGTTTGCTTTTTCCAGTATGTCATTTAAATGGAATCATTTAGTATGTAGCTTTTAAAATCTGGCTTCTTTCACCTAGCATAATGCATTTGGATTCATCCATGTTATGTGTGCCAGTAGCTTGTTCTTTTTTATTGCTGACTAGTATTCTACTGTATAGATATACCACAGTTGGTTTATTCATTCACCAGCTGATGGACATTTGGAGAGTTTCTAGTGTTTGGTGATTATTGCAGTCAGACTTTTTTTTCTGTTTTTATTGTGATAATACATATAAAATTTACCATCTTAACCATTTTTAAGGGTGCAGTTCAGTGGTATTAAATACATTCACGTTGTCGTGCAGCCATCACCACCATCTATCCTCGTAACTCTTTTCATCTTGTAAAATTGAAACTCTATACCTATTGAACAATAACTCTCCAGTCTCTGCTCCCTCTAGCCCCTGGCAATCACTATTATACTTTCTGTCTTTATGATTTTGACTACTCTAAGTACTTCATATGAGTGGAATCATACAGTATTTGTCTTTTTGTGATTGGCTTATTTCACTTAGCATAATGTCCTCCAGGTTCATCCATGTTATGGCATATTGCAGTATTTCCTTCCTTTTTAAGGCTTAATAATATTCCATTATAAATATATGCCACATTTTGCTTATCCACTCGATGGAGACTGGGTTGCTTCCACATTTTAGCTATTGTGAATAATGCTGCTATGAATGTCGGTGTATAAATATCTCTTCAAGACTCTGCTTTCAGTTCTTTTGGGTGTATACTCAGAAATGGAATTGCTGAATCATATGGTAATTCTATTTTTAATTTTTTGAGGAACCACCATACTGTTTTCCACAGCAGCTGGCTGTACCATTTTACATTTCCACCAGCAGTGTACAGGGTTCCAGTTTCTTCACATCCTTCCCAATACTTGTTATTTTCTGTTTTTTTGATAGTAGCCATATTAATGGGTGTGAGGTGGTATCTCATTGTAGTTTGGTTTGCATTTCCCTAATGATTGGTGATGTTGAGCATCTTTTCATGTGCTTAGTGGCCATTTATATGTTGTCTTTGGAGAAATGTCTGTTCAGGTCCTTTGTCCGATTGTGAATTGGGCTGTTTGTTTTTTTATTGTTAAGTTTTAGGAGTTCTCTGCATATTCTGGATATTAATCCCTTATCAGATATACAATTTATAAGTATTTTCTGCCAATCTGTGGATTGCCTTTTTACTCTGTGGATAGTATCTTTTGATGTACAAATTTTTAAAATTTTTCTGAAGTCCTGTTTGTCTACTTCTCCTTTTTTTACCTGTGCCTTTGGTGTCATATCCAAGAAATCATTGCTAAATTCAATGTCATGAAGCTTTTGTCCTATGTTTTTTTCTAAGAGTTTTATTATTTTAGGTCTTACATTTAGGACCTTGATCCATTTTGAGTTAATTTTTGTATACAGTGTTAGGTAAGGGTCCAACTTCATTCTTTTCAATGTGTATATCCAGTTTTCCCAGCACCATTTGTTGAAAAGACTGTCCTTTTTTCCCATTGAATGGTCTTGGCACCCTTGTTAAAAATCATTTGACCGTGAGGTTTTATTTCTAGGCTCTGTATTCTGTTTCTTTGGTCTATATGTCTGTGTTTATGCCAACACCACACTGTTTTGTTTATTGTAGCTTTGTAAATTTTGGAATAAGGAAATGTGAGGTCTCCAGTTCTTTTGTTCTTTTTCAAGATTGTTTTGGCTATTTGGAGTCCCTTGAGATTCCATATGAATTTTAGGATGGGTTTTTCTGTATCTGCAAAAAATGTCATTGGGATTTTGATAGGCATTGCATTGAATCTCTAGATTGCTTTGGGTAGTATTGATATTTTAACAATATTAAGTCTTACAGTCTATGATCATGGGATGTGTTTCCACTTATTTATGTCTTCTTTAATTTCTTTCAGCAATGTTTTGTGGTTTTCATTGTATAAGTCTTTCACCTCCTTGGTTAAGTTAATTCCTAAGTATTTTATTCTTTTTGATGTTCTGATAAATGGAATTGTTTTTATAATTTCCTTTTCAGATTGTTTATTATTTGTGTAGAGAAATGCAACTGACTTTTGTGTGTTGACTTTGTATCCTGTTACTTTGCTGAATTCATGTATTAGTTCTAACAGCTTTTTTGTGGAGTCGTTAGGGTTTTCTATATATAAGCTCATATTATTTGCAGAGATAGTTTTACTTCTTCCTTTCTAGTTTGGATGCCTTTTATTTCTTTTTCTAGCCTAGTTGCTCTGGCTAGAGCTTCCAGTACTATATTGAGTAGAAGTGGTGAAAGTGGGCATCCTTGCCTTGTTCCTGATCTTAGAGAAAAAGCTTTCATTCCTTCACCCTTGAATATGATGTTCTCTGTGGATTTCTATATATGGCTTTTATTATGTTGAAGAAGTGTCCTCCTATTCCTAGTTTGTTGAGTGTTTTTATCATGAAAGGATGTTGAATTTTGTCAAATGCTTTTTCTGCATCAATTGAAATGACTGTGTGGGTTTTCCTTTTGTTTTGTTGATGTGGCATATTACATTGATTGATTTTCGTATGTTGAACCATCTTTGCATTCCAGGAATAAATCCTACTTGGTCATGGTGTATAATCCTTTTAATATGCAGTCATACATTTTTAAAATAAAAATATGATTCTATCTTCTTTATTAATATTACTTTATGTTATTGTTAAAGAGACCACAGTGATTTAACTATTGCCTTTTGGGGCTGGAGTTGCATTTCTTTTTAAAAAAATCATCAAAAAAGAACCAGAAAAAATGTAACAGATCTTGTGGGTAGGGGAAAAGACCTGTAATTTATGATCATTTTGAGTATAGAAAGAGAGATGATGCAAAATTATTAGAAAGAGGGTATGGGGGAACTTGTGGTATTTCCTGATTATGGAAAAGTCAGGTAGTTTTTTTGAGTATAGTGTTAGATCAGAAATGTACTGGTAGATTTGTATAGTTAACCCTTATACAGGTAGCTCCAAAAGTCACCTGTTTAGAATAGTCAAGTAATGGGGCTGGCCTGGTGGCGTAGTGGTTAAGTGCATGCGCTCCACTGCTGGCGGCCCGCGTTCGGATCCCAGGCGCGCACCGATGCACCGCTTGTCGGGCCATGCTGAGGCGGCATCCCGTATAAAGTGGAGGAGGATGGACATAGATGTTAGCCCAGGGCCAGTCTTCCTCAGCAAAAAGAGGAGGATCGGCATCGGTTGTTAGCTCAGGGCTGATCCTTCCTCACAAATAAATAAATAAATAAATAAAAATAAAGGATCTACCTTAAAAAAAAAAAAAAAGACTTTATACCTAGAATAGTCAAGTAAATTATAAGAATTCTCCTATCTTAAAAATGTACTTAAACTTAAAGAGGGCAAAGGTTGGGCATGAAAAGTCAATTTAAACTTTCTTGAATGAATATTTGAGATGAAATTGATGGAAACTTTCTATTCTTCTGCTTAGGGGAAATGAATAATATAAAAAATTAGCTATTTAGTGATCTCAGAAAGGCCATTTGAATATTTACAGTGAATATCTGGTTCATTATTTGGTACAGAAATAAAAAGACCTTCAGCAAAATATTATGCTCCGACTCAGAGAATGTTGGTTTAAATTCCAGCTCCTAAGCCTGGACACTAAGAATCACTGCAGCTTTGAACTGTTCCCTTGTTTCTGAATGTTTTTAGATAAATTATGTAACTTTCATAGAAGCTTTATAGATAAATGGTATGCTATATTGTGTTCTCAGGGAATATTTCTGAAATAGGTAAAACATTTTAGGCAGAATCAGAGCATTTTAGAAATGTTTGTGAGAGAATAATTTGTTCACTGGGCAAATGTAACGTAGAGTCAAAGATGATGCTATGCTCAGAAGTCATGATTTCTTCAGGATTTGAGCTATTCCTTTCATGAGTGTCATGTTAATTATATAAGTTATTTGGCATAAGTTTTTAATGCAACATCAGAGACATCATAACTGAAAGCCAAATATTCGGAAAAGGATGAACAACTAGCATGTGGGAATATAGATTCCATTTGCTGAAGAGCATGGTATAAATTTTTAAGGCAACTGTCATGTATTTCCTGAAATTTATTAGGATTTTGTGTACATACATACTTTTGAGTTCTCAGATAGATGACTGAGTTTCTTGACGGCAATGATCATTTTAGATTTTGGTATTTTCTGAAGGAAGTATTTCTACAGCAAGTATTACTACTTGCTGAATGAATGACTTAGTCTCACCCGTCATTGGGCTACTTGGAGTTCATTAGAGCACCTTGTATCTGTGGATTCTCCAAGATTGGCAGGGCAAGAAGTAGGAAGTGAGTTTTCTGAGAGCATGAGAAAATGGAATCTATCAGAACTGTAAAAGCTGGTACTTCTCATAGAATTTTTACATGATATGGACCTTGAGGAACATTTAGTCCAATGCCCATAGTTTTTTTGTAAATAGATAAATGGAGACCCAGAGAGGTGAGGTGATATGCTTTTAGTCACACAGCTTAGCTGGAGACATGTAGTGTTGTGTTCATTTTGCTCATCACCCTGCCTCTCTTTATCCTTGACCTAGGGTTGGGATAACGTTAAATTCCTCAGTTAAAAATTGTTTACAAAACTCAGTTTTAATTTCTTTTACAATTGATTTTAAGTTAAAGCAAGTCACCATTGAAATTGTATGAGATACACTCTTAATTTTCAAACAGATGCAAAAAATATGCTGATGTTGAATATATAGCTAGAAAGATCTAACGAATTATTTTTTAACAACCTCAAAACATTTTTATGTAGCCTAATTTAAAATGTATAAAATTTAAATAAGACCCCTATTTTCTTAAATACTTTATATAAATATGGACCTTAGATTTCTGGTTTAAAATCGAAGTACCCTAAAATAATGGGTTATTTTCTGCTCTGGAGGATTTCATTTAATAAACATATTTACAGATATAATTGGTGAAGTTCAGAACTACCAAACAGTTTTCTTTTTTGCATGGGCACTTGTAGGCCTAGAAAATTAGCAAAAAACTTTTTCAAGATACTATTTTAGAAATGGAACATTTTAAAATAAAAATAGGAATCAAACATATCATAAGTATTTGCCTTTGGATATTTGATATATAGGCATATTAAGAGATTCTGACTCAGTTGAAGTGGTTTTAAGTTATACAGAAAGTACACCTCTTTGCTCTAATTTTTTGCTCCTGAAACATCATCTACTAATTGTATTATACTAAACTTCATCCTGATTCCCTAAAAATCGCTTTAGCCCTTTGGGACAAAGGAGACATCTATTGAGAGATAATTCTCTAGAAGTCTCTTGTGTTTCTGCACATCTGAGCAGAAGCATTGACAGCTTTTTGGGTGGGCTATCTTTTCAAGAAAATTTGTATAGCAAACAGTTTAGAAAAATAGGAATAGTGTTTCCATAAGGACAGAGGGCATATTTTCTTGCTGTCCAGGATAATCAGAATAATCCCGCTTAGAAAAAGGTAGGGTGCATTTGCTTGCAACTCCTTTAAAAGATTGGGGTTTTATAAGTTCAGCTTTCTTCTCTAGTAATGCAACCCACTCTGTGTGTAGGTATGACCTGGCTCTCCTTTTGTTGCTTTTTAGAAATTAGAGTTTGGGGAGCCCATACAAATAATGATACTCTGGCTACTGCTATTGTTTTGAATAGTAAACTGTTCTTTGTCTCTGGCCCAGGAGTGTCATATCTTCCTCCAGGATTATCTGATGCTGACTCACCAAATATCATTAACACAACCTATTGATAAAACAAAGCTGAATTTATTACTTATTGCAGTAAGAGGGAACACCACCTTGACAAAGCTTTTGTAATGTCTTAGAGTGGTAAGGTCAAGATCAAAATTTTAGAGTTTGAAGTTTGGTTTAATTTGAATCTTACAGTGGTGGTGATGAGGCTTGATTAGAATTGGGTAAATATCATGATATAACAGTTTAGAATTGGTGGAAACTGCAAGGCAAGGATTTTGAAAACTGTTGATGCCTCCTATTGAAGAGTTGATGGGCTTTCCTGAAGCTTCTGTAATGAATAATCAAAGTTATCTCCCTGCAAGAGTCTCCTGGAATAGTAGAGTTATGCTGCTGAAGACATTGGATTAGCAAAGTCATGTTATTGTATGAGGAGAGATGTTATGTGTAGGTGAATTTGTAGCCTTATTTATGTTTTGTTTACTTGGGTGAAGATCATTAATGAAGATAATAGGTAAACATGGAGTTAGCTCTGATCTCTCTGATTTATTTTATTTTTCAATTTGAATAGTATTTGGAATAGTATTTGAAGAGAGACGTTCTTTAGGTCGGTTAAGTCACTTAAAGTTAGAAAAATGTGTTGTTGCTGCACTCTCAACTGAGTTCAGAAAATGAAATAACCTTTTCTGAAGTGAGTATGAGAGTGTAGCTCCCCCTTCATTGCCCACGTTTCTCTGTCATTACATTCCTGTGGTCTAGGAATCTTAGAAAAATTCTTACGAGAGAATGCTAATAGTCCCATGAGGTGGAGCATGGTGCTGGAGTTCTAGATGTAAGTGATTCTTCTCCCATTGAATATTTCTTATGTTTTGAATAAGTACTGCAGTATTGTGTTTGAATTCTTTCTTTGAATAATGTTGAAAATACATAATAATTACTTCATAGAAATATTGCGGGCACTTAAAAGGAAATTCTTTAGTAATACTAAAACCACGTGTGGTTGTGTATGTGCTTGTTCTTTTCTAGGTACAAATTAACAATGTATGTTGGTGATAAGTATAAATACAGATTGAACCAACATCTGTGGATTTGGATGGAAGTGACTGAAGTGGAGGAAAACAGAGATTTTTGATTCACAACACTTGAATTTAAGGATCTTCCAGCATGCAGCACAGACAAATTTTACCAAGCCTCAGTGTTTTCATAGTGGGTATTTGGGCAATTCAGAGACACTCACCAGATGTTGTAACAATGGTGATTTTTTTTTTTTTTTTTTAATTTTAGAAGGCCTATTAGAATATAAAATTTGTAGTAACACTATAGCAATACCTGAAATAAAATATATTAAGATGGACAGAATGTAGAAACTAGTTTAAATAGATACCATAATTATAATAATAAAATAGACATACCTCTGGATTGTATTTGCAGTTCACATTTCCATCCTTCAATGAAAAGAGTAGAAGAATGTGTTACTGTATTTTTTTTAATATGCTGTCCATATCGGTAAGAATAACTTGACCTTTAAAAAAGTCAAGATTTTTTGGCTTGTGGGCCATTTTGATGATTCCTGGGAAGGCCTTTTTTGTGGGGCATGGGCATGGCATGGTGGCTGATCATTCAGGTTTGGATTCAACTTTGTTCCCTTGTAATTTTCCCTTCTCATTTTAGACTTTGAAGTTGGTCTACTAATATTACCAACAAGATAAATTTCCTCCAACTTGTAAGAAATATTTTCTAGTTTCAGAGAATTATAAATTGGCAAAGATAAAAACATAGAGCATGGATGTGTTTGATTTCTTTACTTTTATGGTTTGGAATCTTCACTTTCTTTGTGGTGTTTATTTTTTGTTGGATTCATAGATGCTTGAGAAATTAGAGGAATCCTTGTCCCCCACCCCCCACTACTACTGCAGCCCCATAGGAGAAAAGAGGAAAGAAAGAAAGAAAACCACGTTGAACACTTTTTTTTCCTTGAACACCTATTCTGAATTAATGGATTAATGTGTAAGTTGTTTAGTTGGAGTTTTTTGTTTTTTAAAAATAGAATTTATTTCTTAGAGCAGTTTAGCTTTATAGAAAAATTGAACACAAAGTGCAGAGTTCCCCTAGATCCTGCAACCTTGCTGTAATTGCTTATGACTTCCAGGAGTTTTTTTTTTCCCCCCAATTCTTTTGGATTTTCTATATAGATGATCATGTCATCTGTGAACAAAGACAGTTTTATTTTGTTTTTTCCTAATTTGTGTATTGTTTATATCCTTTTCTTATCTTATTGCATTAGCTAGGATGCCCAGTATGATACTGAATAGCAGTGGTGAAAGGAGAAATCTTGTCCTTGTTCCTGATCTTAAGAGGGAGGTATCTAGTTTCTTACTATTGAGAATCATGTTTGCTGTAGGTTTTTTGTAGATTTTCTTTATCAGCTTGAGGAAGTTCCCTTCTGTTCCTATTTTGCTGTGAGTTTTTATTATGAATGGGTATTGGATTTTATCAAATTCTTTTTCTGCATCTGTTGATTTCATGATTTTTCTTGTTTAGCCTGTTGATGTGATAGATTTCATTAATTGATTTTCAAATGTTGAACCTGAATTGTATACTTGGAATAAATCCCACTTGGTTGTGGTTTATAATCTGATTTGCTAATATTTTTTGAAGACTTTTATATCTGTGTCCATGAGACGTATTGGTCTGTAGTTTTCCTTTCTTGTAATGCTGTTGTCTGGGTTTAGTATTAGGGTAATGCTGGACTCATAAGAATGAGTTAGGGAGTGCTCCCTCTGCTTCTGTTTTCTGAAACAGATTGCAGAGAATTGGTATCATTTGTTTCTTAATTGTTTGGTAGAATTCACCAGTGAAAACATCTGGGTATAGAGCTTTCTGTTTTGGACGATTATTTTTATACAATTTCTTTGTTCAATATAGGCCTATTCAGATGATCTATTTCTCCTTGTGTGCGTTTTGGTAGATTGTGTCTTTTAAGGAATTGGTCCATTTCATTTAAGTTATCAAATTTGTGGGCATAGAATTATTCATAATATTCCCTTGTTATCCTTTTAATGTCCATGGGATCACTAGTGATGGCCCCTCTTTCATTTCTGCTGTTAGTAATTTGTTTTTTCTCTTCTTTTTTCTTGAGAAGCTTGGCTAGGGGTTTATTTATTTTATCGATCTTTTCAAAGAACCAGCTTTTAGTTTTGTTGATTTTCTGTTTACCTGTTTTCAATTTCATAGATTTCTGCTCTGATTTTTATTATTTCTTTTCTTCTGCTTATTTTTTTTTTTTTAAAGATTTTATTTATTTATTTTCCCCCCAAAGCTCCAGTAGATAGTTGTATGTCGTAGCTGCACATCCTTCTAGTTGCTGTATGTGGGACGCGGCCTCAGCATAGCCAGAGAAGCAGTGTGTCGCCGGTGCGCGCCGGGGATCTGAACCCCGGTCGCCAGCAGCAGAGCGCGCGCACTTAACCACTAAGCCACGGGGCCGGCCCATCTTCTGCTTATTTTGGATTTAATTTGCTCTTTTTCTAGTTTCCTAAGGCAGAAACTTTGGGTGATTGATTTTAGCTTTCTTCTATTTTAATATATGCATCCAATGCTATATAAATTTCTCTCTGAGAGAGCAGATGCAATACTGCATATGCTGCATCCCACAAATTTTGATGTTTTATTTTCATTTTTATTTAGTTTAAAATATTTTTTAATTTCTTGAAACTTTTTCTTTGACTCATGTTATGTATGTTGTCAATTTCCAAATATTTGGGGATTTTCTAGCCATCTTTCTGCTATTAATTTCTAGTTTAATTCCATTGTGGTCTGAAAGCATACTTTGTATGTATGCTTTGTATGCATGTACTCTGTTCTTTTACATTTGTTAAGATGTGTTTTCTGGCCCAGAATATAGTCTATCTTGATGAATGTTCCTTTTGAGCTTGAGAAGAATCTGTATTCTATTGTTGTTGGATGAAGTGGTCTATAGATGTCAATTAGATCTAGTTGATTGATGATGCTATTCAAATAGTTCAATGATGTTCTTACTGATTTTCTGCCTGTTGGTTCTATTACTGATAGAGCGGTGTTGAAGTCTTTAAATATAATTGTGAATTTATGTATTTCTTCTTGCTGTTCTACTAGTTTTTACCTATGTATTTTGATGCTTTGTTGTTAGGTGCATACTTAGAAGGATACAAAGAAGTTATGTCTTCTTTGATAATTGACTGTCTATCATTATGTAATACCCCTCTTTATTGCTGGAAATTTTCCTTGCTCTAAAGTCAGCTCTTTCTGAAATTAATATCACTACTCTAGCTTTCTTTTGATTAGTGTTAGCATGGTATATCTTTCTTCATCACTTTAATCTGTCTGTCTTTATATTTAAGTGGGTTTCTTGTAGACAACATATAGTTGGGTCTTGTCTTTTGATTCACTCTGACAGTCTCTGTCTTTTAATTAGATCATCAATGTTTAAAGTAATAATGTATTGACATACTTGGACATACTTGACATACCATATTTTTTTAAACTGTTTTCTATTCCTTGCCCTTGTTCTTTGTCTTCCACTCTGTTTCTGCTTTCTCTCATTTTAATTGAGCTTTTTATATGATTCCATTTTCTATCCTATCTTCGTGTATCATTATACCTCTTTTTAAATTTTTTTTAGTGGTTGCCACAGAGTTTGTGATTATACACTTACTAATCCAAGTTCATTTTCAAATCAAACTATACTGCTTCATGGGTAGTGCAAGTACCTTATAACAGAGTATTCCCAATTCCTCTCTCCCATCCTTTATAACATTGTTGTAATTCATTTCATTTATCTATAAGCTGTGATCACCGAATATATTGTGCTACTATTATTTTGAACAAATTGTTATCTGTTAGATCAATAAAGAATCAGAAATTATCAGAAAGAATCAGAAATCAAAAATATCAAAAAGAATAAGAAAAATAAAAGATTTAATATTACCTTTATTTATTGCTTCTCTAATGCTCCATTTCTTTATGTAATCCATGTTTCTGACCTATATATTTTTCCTTCTCTGAAGAACTTTTAACATTTCTTGCAAAGCAGGTCAGTAGGTCTTCAGTTACCTCAATTTTTGTTTGTCAGAGGAAGTCTTTATTTCTTTTTCATTTTTGAAAGATAATTTTTCCAAATACAGAATTCTAGGTTGGTGGTTTTTTCTTTTAACACTTTTAAGTATTTCATTCCACTCATTTTGCTTGCGTGGTTTCTGAAGAGAAAGTTTGGTGTAATTCTTATTTTCCTTCTCTCTAGGTAAGGTTTTTTTTTTTTTTTCTCCCTTCTGGTTTTCTCTTGATTCTTTCAAGTTTTTTCCATCTATTTTTCTCAATTTTATTATGATATGCCTAGGTGTAAGTATTTTAGTGTTTTTCCTGCTTGGTGTATTCTGGGCTTCCTGGATTTGGTTTGGTGTCTATCACTAAAGACATTCTTTTTCTGTTACAGTATTGTTGATTTGTAGCATTTCCTTTTGACTTTTTTCTTAGTTTCCATATCTCTGCTTATATTACCCATCTGTTCTTGCGTGTTGTTCACTTTTTCCATGAGAGCCGTTAGCATATTTACCATAGCTATTTTTAAACCCAGTGATAATTCTAAAACCTCTGCCATATCTGAGTCGGATTTTGAGGCTTGCTTTGTTTCTTCAGATTGTGTTTTTTGCCTTTACAATCCTTTGTAATTTTTTTATTGATAGCCAGACATGATATATTAGGTAAAGGAAACTGAGGTAAACAGGCCTTTGGTGTGAGGTTTTATGTTTATTTCACTAGGAGTTAGGCTGTGTTTACTGTTTGCTGTAGCTGTGGTGTCAGATGCTAAAATTTCTTGTAGTGTCCTTGTTTTTGTCTGCCCTGTTGTCTTGATTTTGTAGAGAATCCTTAAATAGGGTCTGAGACTTGCATTTCTTTTACCTGTAACGCTCTGTTATTGTGTAGGAGTTGTACTGATGTCGTGGTGAGGGGGTGGGAGTTCTGTAGTCTGTGATTAGTTCTCAGTCTTTTAGTCAGCTTGATTTGGGTCTCTCTTTCCCCATGTTGAAGGATAGAGGGAGCTGGAGTTGGATGTTTCCTTTACCTCAGGTTGGTTAGACACTGTAAAACCCTGGTGGGTTAGGCTCTGTAATATTCCAGTTGGTTAGGCTCTGTTAAAATAGTTTCCTTTTCAGGAAGGCCTTTTTAAGAAGAATCAAGAGCTCTGGGCTTATTTCAAAATGATTCCTTTTCCCTTCTCCCTGCTGGAAACAGGAAGGAATTTTTCTTGGATCTTTATGGTAAGAACCTGGTAGGGCTCCTGGAGGTAAAACTCAAGCAAGTATGGGAGCCTCTCAGAGACTGGGTCCCCTCACAGTGTTTTGCTCTAAGCTAGTCTACACTGAGCCTCCAGCAGTTGTCAGTTACTGTTGAAAGTGTTCCTACTGATGGGCTCCAGCTGAGGACTCATGTTCCTGGGCTGCTTCACACATGCTGTGATTCTCTGTGTCGGCCTGTCTGTCTACTCAGTTTTCAGGGTAGTAGTTTGCCCTCTGAACTCAGTTCTCTGATGATTCTCATAAGAGTTGCTGATTTTCATTTTTTTCCAGCTTTTTTTGTTGTTGTGAGGACAGGAATGTTGAATTCCAAGCTCTTTACTTGTTGGATCTGATTGAAGGCTATTTTTGACTCTTTGTGACAATTTTGCAATGGTAAAGACTGGTATAATATCCTTTGTCTGATTTGGCAGTATTACTCATTTGGAATTTGATTTCCTTCTGGTGTACAAACCTGATGGTACAAAATGTACAAACCTGATGTTTGTACATTTTGAGGTAATGTATTCTAATTTGCAGGAATGAATACAGAACTTTTCCAGAGGGAAGTTGATCTTAGGACTGATTTTTGTTCTACGTGAGATAACTCATTCTT